AATGAATGAATGAATGAATGAATGAATGAATGAATGAATGAATGAATGATGGATTTGAAGCTCCTGTGGGACGTTCAGGGTTCTGGGACATTTTATAACCTGACCCGTACTTCTCCACAACTTTCTGACCTGTGTGGACAGTTCCTTGGTCTTCATGATGTCTTTTTTTTGTGGGTAGACCTTAGAGGTGCACCTCCCTGAGGCTTAGATCAAGTGGAGCTCAATGAACGAGGTTAAAGGTCGGAGCTTCAGAGCTGCAATATTTATGCTTTTCAGTTTTTATAATCACAATTTAACTGAATCGAGAATTATTTCTTGCACTAACGTTCAAACTCGAGCTGTCAATCAACTGATGGGGGGGGGGGGTTAAATCGAGCTGTCAATCAACTGAGGGGGGGGGGGGGGGGGTTAATACTTTTGCAACCAATTCATATAAATTGTCGTTAATGAAACGCGGGCGTCCAGCGGCAGCTCTTACTTTATTTCCGACCAAAACAAAACAGCAGATACAGAATCGGAGTTTGAGTCATCTGCTTCGATAAAACCTAAACTCTGATCTGGACTTCAGCCCCAGAGGTCCAGTTTCTCGGAGTCCCAACCTGGGGACACGCCAGCAGCTCTGAGCAGTTCCTCGTCCGTCCGAGGGGGTCCTGAAGTGTCCCGTCCCCTCACCAGGTCATGTCCACGTCCAGCTCAGAGAGACACTGGGCCAGGTGGCCGTCCCGGTCCATCTGCGTGGACCTGGAGACGGAGTCACAGGACTTTCAGGACATTTTCAGATTTTATTTTGCTAACAGACTCCGGAACAGGTCCGGCAGCTCTTACCCTGGAGGGAAGGCCCGTAAACACAGCGGGCAGCTCTGCGGCTCTTCATCTCGTCTCTGCGCCTCCTCTTCATCAGCCGGAGCAGAAACCTTCGGTTCTTGGATCGTCGGTCCGGTCTCTCCTCCAACCCTTCGTCGCCCCGCTGAGGATGATGATGTCGCCTCCTCCCCATGCTGCTGGAGCTGAGGAGGCTCTGCGAGGCGGTTTTGACTCCTGTCAGGTGGGTTCTGAGCAGTTTTGGTCTGAACCGGGAGGTCCAGTTGGGAGGAGGCCCGGATCAACGAAGACCTCGGACAGAGCAGAGAGCATTCTGGGAGGGGAGGGACCTCCCAGCCGAGGTCACCCCACCGCTGTTCGTCTGGATTTGGAGCCGGTGGGTTCTGTGGAGAAAGAAAACGGTTTTAACCCATTGGTTCAGTCTAGTCACGGTTCCAGGACCACTGAAGTCCATCTGGTCCCTGAAGAACCATGAGCGCTGCACAAAGTCGAGCAGGTTGGACTCCTGGTGAACTCTCTCTGTTTGTTGCAGATGATGCAGTTCTGTTGGTGTCTGGACCTTCAGCAGCTCCTCAGTCTGAGGTTCTCACCCAGAAAGTTGGAGTCCAGGTGTCTGGGAGCCCAGTTCCTGAGGGATGGAGCAGGAGATGGATCAATGGACCAAAACCTCATAGAGATCCATCCATCCATCCATCATCTTCCTCTTGTTCTAGACTCAGGTCTCGGGGACAGCATCTTGAGCAGGGAGGTCCAGACATCTCTCCACAGCCTCTTCCAGCTCTTCTGGGAGGACTCCAAGGCATTCCCAGGACAATCGAGAGACGTAGTCTCTCCAGCGTGTCCTGGGTCTTCCCCGGGGTCTCCTCCCAGTCAGACATGCCTGAAGCACCTCCCTAGGGAGGCACCCAGGGTTCATCCTTACCAGAACGACCTCAACTGGCTCCTCTGGATGTGGAGGAGCAGTGGTTCTCCTCTGAGTCTCTCCTGATGACTGAACTTCTCACCCTGTCTCTAAGGGAGAGTCCAGCTCTGCAGAGGAAACTCATTTTAACCTCCTGGATCCACGACCTCGTTCTCTCAGTCTCTACCAGAGTTCATGACCAGAGGGGAGGAACGTAGACCGACCAGTAAACGGAGAGCTTTGTCTTACAGCTCAGCTCCTTCACCACAATGGACCGGTACAGAGTCCACAACACTGCAGATGCTGCACCAATCCGTCTGTCAGTCTTGCGCTCCATTCTTCCCTCACGCTGAACAAAACCTTGAGATACTTGAACTCCTCCACTTGAGGCAGAACCTCACCCAAACGGCAAAGCTCAGGATGTACCGGTCCCTCTCCAGTCCAGACCTCAGCTGTGATCCTGGATCCAAGCAGCTCCAATGATCTCCCTCTGCAGGGAGTCTGGGCTCAGCCTTCCAGAGAAGAGGAGCAGCTCAGAGTAGAGAC